TTATGTGCTGGGGAGAACCTATCGAAGCGGGGGGGGGGGGGGGGGTCTGTGTACAAACTGACCGTGAGTTTATAAAGCTACAGTTATGAGAACAAAAATCAACAAACAAAATCGACAAACAAGAACAAAACCCATACCTCAGTAAAGGAAGAGGTTCACATTTTTAAGTAATAAGGTATTGCGTGGTTAAAATGAACACATTTTGGGCCCATTTACACTTGTGCATTATGGCAATGTGCACTAAAGCATGCCCATTGGGGCATGTTACCACAACGCATGGCCACACACCTGCCCTATGTGTGGTACAATTTTTTGTGAATGACAAAGCCTTGTATAGTAAAGCCCAATGCACTGCAACTCACAACACATACAACACAGGTTGTGGTGCAGTGCGTATTGAAAGAAAAGAGTCATGCATGTTTTTCCATCTCTTGTGGTGCGTTGGCAGCCCATATATAATGCACTGCAATGGAATGTGTGACTGGCCCCCTCACTAAACTGTTTATTAGAGCTTTAGGCCTCATTCACACTTCCGTGCATATACGCGCGTATTGTACCATATGCAACATATGCAAATAAATGGCTCCATACACATAGCTGCGTATAGAGCCGTATATTTGCGCAGCGTAAAAATGTGCAAAAACAGAATGGAACCGAGATGCGTCCGGGCAGTGTATTTCTGCGTATTTTACTCACACGTACACGCGTATAGTTCATTAACATTTGTATTACGAATTATGCATTTTGGGATTGCATATAGTGCACGCATATACGCATACGCACGTACATAGTGCATGTACGCGTATATACGCAATATACAATTTTGCTCTTGTGTTGTGTGTGAATGAGGCCTTAGACCCCTTTCACACAAGCTGATCAGTAGGGGATCAATGCACAGACGCCCTCTTGACTGACTAGCAAACCTCTAAAGCTAAACCCCACCTTTATCTTGACAATTGGTTTAGTCTAATTGTTTAAGTTGACCAAATCTTTGAATTTGGTGTGTTTTATCTGGGTAGGAAGGCAGTGTGTCTGCAGGGGGCAAGCTTCCAAAAATGACACCCTCAGTTTTGTTTTTTGATCCCAATTACTGCAAATCCCAGTACTGATTTTCTGCCTTTTTTTCGTTGTCTAGCTCCAGATCGACAAGGTTGTGACTCTCATATTCGTTTTCCTGTGCCTCCCAACACCAAGCACTGGATTGCACTTCTACAGCGTGGAAACTGCACCTTTAAAGAAAAGATCCTTCGTGCCGCATCCCACAATGCCACAGCCGTGGTCATCTACAACAACAATTCTAATGAAGATACTGTGACAATGACTCACCCAGGTAAATTGAGGTTACTTGGCGTATGCTTGATAAGCCTACCAGTAGAACTGTATATCTATTGATGAGTTAAAAGTTAGTAATGTTTTTATTTGTAGTATCAGTCTTACAACATGTGGGACTAACCATGGAAAGGCTTATGTTTACTGAGAACAATGGTGGTGAGACATCTTCATCCTGTCTTCATGCCTTTAAAATTATCCCAGACCAATGTTCTCTCTGGCAGGGCCAACGGGTCAGATATTTGTTTAATTTCACACTTTTAAAGAGACTATCGTGTTGTCCTTTTGGGGTGAATCTTTTTGAAACATACCCCCTGACACACCTGGCTACTACTAAGGCCCGAGCATTGCATCATGGGTGGAGGTTGCATGCTTCCTCATACCTGGAAACACCAGGCATTATGCGATGGCTGCGACAGAGGAGCAGTGTGGGGTGCTCTGAAGTTGAGTATATGTGGGTCTAGGGGGTGGACTGGCAAGAGACCTGCCTTTGTGACTTTGCCCTGGATTTTTCAGTTTCTTTAAAAAAAAGGGGAGCGCACTGGAAACACTGGGTGTAACATAAAGCTCACTTCTAATAGCTTGAAAGAGTTTGTCTGCTAGAAGCCATACAAAAACTGACCCATATCTGATCCTCTATATATTCTTCAATTGGATGGAAGGACGGGGTATTGAAGTGTCTGGAGACATGTGAATATCTTCATCCATTCTCCAACAGGTTTGAGTATTTCTCTGAGCAGTGGTGAGTGCTTAGCACAGTTGAAAGCACTATAGACTGTGTTAACTTTGTATCTGACCAGCGCATTGGCGAATATGTGATGTTTTATGCATCTTGGCCTATTGGCTAACCTACCTTAAGGAGCAGATTATGGCATCACTGACAGACCGGCCAGATCCATGAAGGACTGAAAGTATGACAGAATGCAAAGTAGTGACAAACAAAAGTTTTGAGTATTTAAGACTAGACAGTCAGGAAATTGAAATGTTGCCACAGCAGTCGTTATGTAATTTTAGAGAGGAAAAAAAAGCCTTTTTGTACTTCTTATTAATGGGTTCTCTGTGCCGCTAACAGTTGGACACGTTTAAAAATGCATGAAGATTAGGAGGTCTGTGTGGCTACTGTTTCTGGAATAGCTGTTAATCATGGGTCAGTCACAGGCTGAACATGGTGCCTTCTGGCTCCACATTATACTAAAGTAGGGCTACACGTGCTAATTATCCTGGATGTGTAGTTCAGGATTTCAACGTATTTGTATATTGGCCGTGTTTTGTTCATAACCTTGTCAAATGACACATTAAAAGATTTTAAATAGCCAATGGAAACTAAAAAAAAAGAGTGATACGCAAACATGAAAAGCCAAACACTTCTGGAAAAGACATCACTTCAGGCAATCATATGTGGCTACCAGCCCAGGTGCACAGGCTCTCCGTGATCCACCTTTTCCCCTCCAGGTATTCAAACACATAAGCCGCGCTCTGCTGTATTTTTTTTTTTTTTGCTATACTGCAACAAGCTTTATTGATGCCAGATTAGGTCAGACAGACACTCTCTCCCTCATCAACCATGACTCCATGTCGGGGGCGAAGTCAGGCATGATAGGGGAGAGAATGTCTACATAACCTAATCGGGCATCATTAAAAAATGCTGTTCAGCAAATAATACTGCAGAGTATGTCTTACGTGTTTAAATACCTTGTATAAATAATGGTTCAACCATTACATGGAAGTCTTCATGTTGTACAGGTGGACTGGTGCTCTTTAGTTTAATGGGTAACTTTGCAGCTCATTTGTGAGTGATGGAAAACTCAATAATACTTGGATAGGGTAGCATAGGAGGAAGGAGAAGTAGCATGTCTATTTATTGAAGATAATATTAGATACCAGACAACAGCAGCAGAGGAATGTAATTGCTTCAGAAAGAGTGTCATATTTGCAAATGTATATTGATGTCTTCCCTTTCACATGAGCCCAGCTATCTACCTTCTTACCACTGATTTCTTCATTGTATATGGCATTCTTAACTGCATTCACTCACGGGAAGTTGTTTGTGTCTTATCAGGAAAATGGTTTCATTATGGCTGAGATGGGTTTTTGCTTTTAGAAAGGGGAACTGTATTGTTTTGATGTGAAAGTGTTCAGTTATCACACGCACCTAGTGCGTGCGTGTGTTTAGGTTACTAAATCACCCCCTCTATCTCACTATAGGTCTACCATGCAGGGTCTCAATACCCACAATAGAATGTCTGCAGAATTTAATGTATACTTCCACTTTTGCAGCCAAATTGGGATAACAACTATAATATACAGTATTTGTTACATGTTTTTAATTCACATAGAATTTTTCTTATTGTTATTTACAATAGTACATGCCCAATGAAAGTTGTTTTGTATACGGAGTTTATTCTGGAATGCAAGGGAGGCTGGGCAGGGTAATGTTAACATGATTAACTCTGTCTGGACTGTGCTGGCAGATCTCATTATCAGTTGAAAACTAGATTTGGAAACTGTCCTAAGAAAGGGTTAAAGTTCTAAAAGCATTGTATGTCAATGAGGGAAGCTCAGTTTGTCCCTAGTCTTTCTATGGTGACAGTCAGAGTTTTCTGTAATTTGGGTGTTTGAGAAAAGTGTGTCAAAGGGCTGCTACACAGACGCATCTAAAAGTAAGAATTTAAAAAAAATATATAGTTTTCAGTATGCTGTGTGAATAGAATCGCATAACAAACATCTAGAGGAGTTTTCTCAAATTTGGCTGCAGAAGTGGAAATACATCTTAAAGGGGACCTTGCAGGAAAATGTGAGGTCAGCATATATTGCAGCCCCGACAAACCTTAATAATACTACTCAGTGAAAGCTATAAAAACAATTATGTAGAAAAATCTTTCTTATGCTCTGGTTTCCGGGGATACTTCGTGTAGGTGCAAATTACATCACTGGGCCTCACTAGGGGATCGTAGATGGATCCCCTGCTAGGTTGGATCAGAACAAAGATGGATGTCACATCCATCTGCGGGTGGAGGAAAAACGGACCCATGTAATCACTGTCTGGCCTGATGCAAATGTGTCCGTCTATATCCGCTCACATCTAGTCAGGTCAGTAAAAGCGGAAATGACTGCAAGCTCTTTGTGTTCTGTCCGTTGGACCCTGAAGTGGGCAGATATAGCTAGACACCCATCAGCGTACATCTGGCCTCTCAGCGTGTATTGCAGTCTGTTTTTCAGGTTAAAAAACAGACAGGATGTCTATGTGAAAGGGACATCAAAGAGGAACTTCACCCTTTTCTTTAAAATGACATCAAAACTCCTTTAGAAATGTTTAGTAATGACAGTTTACAAACACATACTTCTAGATAACTGCAGACTTTTTATTCTTTGCATACCTTATTTTTCTTTTACTCCCCATTTTTCTCAAGGTGGCCATTTTTACTAAGGGCAGGTGAATCCATCTCCCTTTACTTCCTGGAACTCTGGCACCAGATTTTGCAGTTTGCAGATGGGATTTCCCAGCAATGCACTGCCTTTGTCAGGCTCTGTCAACTTTGCAGCTTCTCATTGGACAGAAGTGATGGCACTGCGTCATTATCCACTTAGTAGGTTGGAGGCAGAAAGATGGCGCTGGAAGCTGCAAAACATAACCAAGAAATATGGAGTTATCTGCCTGGCTGTGCAATGTGGTAGGGGGTTTTGACTGACGAGAATTGCTAGTGTGGAACTGACAACCGTGGCATAAAATTCAGTTAAACTCTTTTGGCCTATTCTCTGTATTTTTATGTGTGAACCAAGTGAAGGAATAGAGTTGTTGTCTGTCTATCGTATTAATTTTTTTAGCCAACTCACATATTAGTGATTTTTCTCAGCTAAAATGCACATGCACGCAACGCCAATAAAAATCTGCTCATGTGCACGTATGCAATTTTCATCTGAATTCAGCTGTTATATTTCTGCATTGTTTTTTTCTCGTTGTGATGGGCATAGTGCATACTTTAGTAGTGTGTTTCCTGGACCATTCGGCTCTATTCTGTTCATGTACAAAATTTTAGGCCACCGGCAGAAACAAATTCAGCAGCTTCTGCAGACAAGACCTTGGGGGATAGGTTAATGATTGAACAAAACTATGCAGCCTGCTAAAATGTATCAGATGTGCAGTGAGACTTGAGCAGTTCTGACAGCCAGCTTCATTGCCAGTCCCTGAGAGGACCCCAACCGCCAGTCAGTGCATCCAGCATCCAGTTAAATGTTAAAGGGCCCATATACCTTAATTACATAATTTTCCTTAATCAGGTCTGTTAACATTTGTAGATAAATACTGTGCAACTTTGCAACTTTCAGGAGTTTGAAGAGCAGTGATGCTTAAACTAAAGTGGAATGATGCTACCAACATTCCTATACAATGACCCTTAGAACAAAATTACCAGCTTTCATTTTCTTGCATCTTTTTGTGTGTTAGGTGTCATTGGGGGATGCATGGCTATGCGACTCATTTATGGGTATTTGTACATACACATTTGTTATTTGTTCTTGATTATTAGCTAGAAAAAAAAGGGTAGTGTGCATCATCTTCAGCTCTGAGGTCCGGTTCACACCACAAACAGAGCGTTCCAGAGCTGTCAGCCTCTGGAACGCACTGTATCGCAACCCAGCCGGCTCCCTCCCGCAGCCACACACACACGCCCCCCCCCCGCAGTGCGATCACCCGAACACGTGGCACAATAGTACCTTCGTTCCGGCTGCAACAAGCACTATTTTTGCAGATCGCACTGGACCAGAACGCAGGCACAGATGTGCCACGCATTCGGGTGCAGGCGATCGCACTGCGACCAGGGGGCGTGGCATTGCTGCCATTGACTTGTATGCACCGCCACATCCCCTTCCGCCCCTGAACGCAGGGAGACTTCAATGGAAATGGCAGGAAACGTGCTACAGAAGCATTTTGCTAATTTATGTATGTGCGTATCCATGTGCATTTATCCATTGACTGCAATGTCTCTAAAGCTGCCAGTAAAA